GAATGGTTCTGATCCCAGATGGTTTTCTTAAATTCTTCAGTTTCAGGTTTTTTTAATTTTTCAATTTCAGAGTTTTTTAATTCTTAAAGAAATAATAAAAATCATCAATAATTAATAAAAATAAAATTAAAACCCATTGGATTTGGGTGGAAATAGCTCCACACAAGTTTGACCAACAAACCAAACTCCTCAATGGCTCTAACCCCAAACGGTACCAGCGGGAAACCTTTTAACTTTTAAAAAACCCCATTTTTTTCTGAATTTTTTTTACTTTTTGATGAAAAATCCCCATTCTGCGTCCTTTGGGGCAGTCAGTGCCTCTGTAAACATCCTTGACTGGAAGCTGGAAGGTTCTGGAAGGAGCTTTCAGTCGGATGTTTACAGCGGCAGGCTGCTGCTTTCGGCTTTTCCTTCTGAATTTCCCTGGATTCAAAAGAAAAAATCTGGATTCCCATCAAGGCCCTGGTTGGATAATTCTGCTCCCGGAATGGTCAGCAATCAAAAAAAGAAGAATTGAAAACAATATATTTTAAAAAAATGGTTGTGACAGCTCCTTGCTGAAGGTTTGCGGCGTGGAAAAATCCGGGTCGTGCCAAAAAACGGGAATTTGGGACCCTTTCAGCACGGAATTTCATCTTTCATGTGGATTTTTTGTTGCTTTTTTGTCTCCAAATCCTGGAAAATGTGGAAAATTCTGTCTTSTCCAAGTGCAGAGAGYGAATTTTGGGGATTTTGTGCCTGGAATTGTCCTCGTGGTGCTCCCGGAGCAGCAACTGAAGGGAAAATTCAGAGCTCAGCTTTGGGATGGCTCCGTGGGATCCAAGCTCATCCTTATTCCCAGAATATCCTGAAATCCAAGGAAAAAAAAACCCTTTTTCATATCCCAAAATATCCAGGAAAATCCCTAAAACATAAATATTGGCAGGAATCCTCACGGTTTCGCCCAAACTCGTTAATTTGGTGTTAATTAAAAGGCAAAACTGCCTCCACAGTCGCTCTTCTTAATGGGGGAAGGCAAATTTGAAGTTTTTTTTCCAGCTGGAATAATTGGAATTTCCATTGGAGTTTCCATTGGAATCATTGAATTTCCATCTGGAATCATAAGAATTTCCATAGGAATTTCCATTGGAATTTCCATAGGAATTCCCATTGGAATCGTGGGAATTTCCATTTGAAATATTGGAGTTTCCATCTGGAATCATTGGAATTTCCATTGGAATAGTGGGATTTTCTGCTGGGAAATCTGATATTTTCTCCTTCCTAAAAAAACAACTTCTGAGCAAACAAAACTTGTCACTCGATACTCACCCAACCCTCACCCACCGYTCTCCTCAAACACAAATTTTCCTTTTCCCACCCAGCTGGATCGACTGAAAAGTGGAATCCGTGAGAAAAATCCCAAAAAAAAAAACCCCAAAAAAGCCTGGAATGACGGAAAAGTGCCATGTTGTAGCACGTGTAAACATCCTACACTCTCAGCTGTGAACTCGAGCTGGCTGGGAGAGGATTGTTTACGCCTTCTGCCATGGATTGAACGTCCTGGAACCACCTCGAGGAGCTCGGGAACCTCTGGAAATTTGGGGATTTCATCGGTCAGGAGGGGATTTTTGTTGCTGAGATNCCTCGAGGAGCTCGGGAACCTCTGGAAATTTGGGGATTTCATCGGTCAGGAGGGGATTTTTGTTGCTGAGATGGAAAAAAGCAGTGCTGGTGGTGGAATGGAGGGAGAGCGAATTTCGATTCCACATCTCCATGTCCCTTAACCTCTGAAAATTCTGGAATTTTGTTGGTCAGGAAGGAATTTTTGTTGCTGAGATGGAAAAAAGCAGCGCTGCTGGTGGCAAGGAGCTCAGGAATTCCAATCCCACCTCGCCACGTCCCTTAATCTCCAAAAATTTTGGGATTTTGTTGATCAAGAGGGGTTTTTTGTGCTGAGATGCGGGAAAGTGGCGGTGCTGGTGGCAGGGAGCTCAGGAATTCTGATTCCACCTTGCTGTGTCCCTTAACCTCCAAAAATTTTGGGATTTCGTTGATCAGGAGGGGATTTTTTGCTGCTGAGATGGAAAAAAGCAGCACTGCTGGTGGCAGGGAGCTCAGGAATTCTTATTCCACCTCGCCAGGTCCCTTAACCTCCAAAAATTTTGGGATTTTGTTGATCAAGAGGGGTTTTTTGTGCTGAGATGCGGGAAAGTGGCGGTGCTGGTGGCCGGGAGCTCAAGAATTCATATCACACCTCACTGTGTCCCTTAACCTCCAAAAATGTTGGGATTTCGTTGTTCAGGAGGGGATTTTTGTTGCCGAGATGGAAAAAAGTGTCAGTGCCAGTGCTTCCCAGTGCTGAGATTTGGGGATTGATAACGGGGTTGGGATGGATGATCGCGGGCACAGCAGCGAGCGCCGGATCTGTGGAGTTTGATATTGGGGGTTTGGCATCGGAGATGCGTGGAGGGGTGGGAATGTGGCTCAGGAGAGGGATGAGGAGGCTCCATCGGTTTTCCTGTGGTATTTAAAATTCTCGGTACCTTTGCAATTCCTGGGGCATTTGTAATTCCCAGGGCATTCACAATTCCCGGAGCATTTGCAATTCCTGCTGCATTCACAGTTCCTGGGGTGTTTGCAATTCCTGATGTATTTGCAGTTCTCAGAGCATTTTCAATTCCCAGTGTGTTTGCAATTCCTGGTCAGTCCATTTGCAATTCCTGATATATTTACAATTCCTGCTGCATTTGGAATTCCTGCTGCATTTACAATTGCAATTGCTGGGTATTTGCAATTCTTATGCATTTACAATTCCCAGAGTATTTACAATTCCTGGGCATTTGCAATTCCTGCTGCATTTACAGTTCCCGGGATGTTTCCAATTCACAGTGTGTTGCAATTGCTGGGGTGTTTACAGTTCCTGCTGATTTGCAATTCTTGGAATGTTTGCAATTCCCAAGGCATTTGCAATTCCTGCTGCATTTACAATTCCTGGGGTGTTTCCAACTCCCAGAGTGTTTGCAATTCCCAGAGCATTTGCAATTCCTGCTGCATTTACAATTCCTGGGATGTTTCCAATTCCCAGATTGTTTGCAATTCCCAGAGCATTTACAATTCCTGATGCATTCGCAATTCCTGCTGCATTTACAATTCCTGGAACATTTACAATTCCCAAGGCATTTGCAATTTCTGCTGCATTTGCAATTCCTGCTGCATCTGCAGTTACAATTGCTGGTGCATTTACAGTTCATGCTGCATTTACAATTCCTGCTGCATTTATAATTCCTGGTACATTTACAATTCTCAGGGCATTTACAATTTTTTCTGTGCTGGAATTCACAGATGAGGAAATTCAGTGGCTTTCATCTCTGGTGATTTTATCCCTTCTCTTCCTCCTCCTCCTCCTCCTCCTCCTCATCCTCTTGGTAGCGACTCCACCTCGGTGACGACTCCACCCTTACCCACATTTTATTGGGAGCTCTCCCAATTTCCCTGGCGCTGAATAAATTCTCATTTCTCAATTAAACTCTTCCAAGGATGACATTAAATCTCCTTTCCCACGGGATGTGTTTGGGGACGATATTCTGCAATGGGGTGGGTCCGGGCTGCGTTCCCATCCCAATTCCCGGCGTTTTCCCGGTGTTTTCCGGCAGGAGGAGGTGCGCCAGGCCGTCACCCCGGCCGAGCCCGTGCAGTATTATTTCACCCTGGCGCAGCAGCCGGCAGCCGTGCAGGTGCAGGGCCAGCAGCAGGGCCAGCAGACCACCACGGCCACCACCACCATCCAACCGGGCCAGATCATCATCGCCCAGCCCCAGCAGGGCCAGGTCAGAGCGGGGCACAGGGAAAGCTCCACTCGGGGTGGAGTGCTCGGGGAAATCGGTGACGGTGTGGGAATGGTGGGGTGGGATCCATGGGATGGGATGGGATGGGATGGGATGGGATCCGTGGGATGGGATCCGTGGGATGGGATGGGATCCATGGGATGGGATGGGATGGGATGGGATTAATTGAGTTGGGTTAATATGGGATGGATAGGATGGGCTGAGTTGGATTGAGTTGAGTTGATTTGGGATGGGATGAGTTGAGTTTGGTTGATGTGGATGGAGTTGGGATGAGCTGAGATGGGTTGAATTGGGTTGGGATGGATTGAGATGGATTAAAGTTGGGTTAAGGTTAGGTTTGGGTTGTGATGCGGTGGGATGGGCTCGGTTGAGTTGCATTGGGATCCATGGGATGGGATGGGATGGGATCCATGGCATGGATTACATTGAGAAGAGCTGAAAGCTCATCCCATTCCACGATCAGGGCCTTCCACCACCCCAGCGTGCCCCAGCCCTGTCTTCCCTCACCTTGGCCACTTCCTTGGGCCATCCCCATCTTTCCTGGCCCAAACGTCATTCCTGCCCTATTCCTGCCTTTTGCAGCCCATCCCCAGATCCTCATCCCTTCTTTTTCCCAGACTACCCCTCAATCCCCATCCCCATTATTTTTTCTTCCCCAAATCCTCACCCCCATTATTTTTTTCCCCCCAAATCCTCATACTCATTATTTTTTTCCCCAAATCCTCACCCCCATTATTTTTTGTCCCCAGACCACCCCCGTGACCATGCAGGTGGGTGAGGGCCAGCAGGTCCAGATCGTCCAGGCCCAGCCCCAGGGCCAGGGCCAGCAGGCTCAGAGCGGCAGCGGCCAAACCATGCAAGTGATGCAGCAAATCATYACCAACACCGGCGAAATCCAGCAAATCCCGGTAAGAAAACRGGGAAAAARAMCCCAAAAATTCCCCCCTGAGCAAATTGAGAGCRTGAGGCAGTTTCTGTCAATTTTTGGAAAGGGTAAAGGGAGTTTGCATGGAGTTTGGATGGAGTTTGGGTGGCGTTTCCTGCGACGCGATTTCATTTCCCCCCAAAAAGAAACTTCACCCCTTCAGTGCAAAATCATTCCCCACCCCAAATGTTCCCCCTGAGCGAAATATTTGGGATTAGGAATGGGAAATGAAATATTTCCTGGCTGAATTTCAGTTCTTCTCGGCATCGTGGGTTGAAGGAAAGAGAATTAATCCAGTTTTTTTACCTTTTCTTGGTCGTGCCTCTGCATTTGGAAGTCGTGGCCTGGCAGGGAAAGGACTATAATAATTAATAAACTTTAATTAAGGAATAAATCTTTATTAATAAACTATAAATAAAGRGAATTAATAAACTGAAAAAAAATAAAGGAAATATTTCTTCAAAATGTTTGGAGCTGGATGGAGGAACAGCTTTGCAGAAGCAGGAGACACCAGTCAGCCTGGAAAATGGAATTTTGGCTGCCTGGAATAACCAAAACTTCCTGAAATGGGGTCAAAAAATCACATTTCACCTCTTCGCCGTGCAATAAAATCACAAAAAAAACCTAAAGCTTTTGGAAAATCTCACACCTGCTAAAGAAAAAAAAGTGAAAAACCACCCAGCTTTGTGTGGTCACCCAAAGGTCACCCAAAGGTGCCAGACCCGCGGGGATTTCCCAGCTCTTTCTGTCTCTGGAGCCTTCAGCTGACTCTGCTGCCTTGGGGTGTTGGTCAGAAAGGAAGAAATTGCCAAATTGGCTGGTTTACTACAAAAAAACCTTTTTTCTTCTCTGCATTTTCCCTTCCGTTTCTTTTGTTCTTCATTTATTTTCTTCTTTTCCATTTCTTTTTTTCCTCTTTTCTTTTTCTTCATTTCCATTTCTTGTTTTCATTTTTCTTTTCCATTTTTTCCTGTTCTTTCCCATTCCTTTTCTTCTTCTCTTCCATTTATTTTCTTCTTCTTTTCCATTTCTTTTTCCTCCTTTTCATTTTCTTTTCTCTTTTCTGTTCCTCTTCTTCCTCTTTTCCTTTTTTTCTTCTTTTCTGATTCTTTTTTCCCTCTCATTTCTTTTTTTTCTTCTTTGCTAATTTTTTTCTCCTCCATTTGTTTTTTAAACTCTTTTTCCTTGTGAAAATCTCTCCAAGCGATTTATTCCTCCGAGCTTTGTGGAACGAGATCTCCAATGGATCCTCAGCAAGAAAAAACAGCTCAGATCCATCCTCAGCTGTCAAGAGAAAAAATTCCTTAAAAACTCACAGCAAGGCTGAAAATCCTGCAGAAAATCTGAGAGGATACTTCAGGAAGCGATTCCACATTTCCAGCCAGACTTTGAGGGGTTTTAGGGTGTGGATTTGACCAAAAATTACCTTTTTTCCCGCTGGAATGGGGCAGTTTTTTGGGAACGCCTGGATTTCCGCCAGCTCCGAAGCAGCAGTGGTGGACGGGATGATCCCAACCCGCAGCTCCCCAGGATCCAGGAGGGTTCGGATTTGGGATTGGGTCGAATCTTCTGTTGGTGCTGAAATGAAACAAAACAGAACTTGGAGAGAAATCCCCTGGGAGAATTTCAGTGCCCAGCCTGGGTTTAATCCCACAAAATTCCAATCCTTGCTCTGTTCTGCTCTTTTTCTTTGCTTTTCTGATTTTTCCCTGATCTCCACCCTCTCGGCATCCTCAGGGCTCAGCAGAGAATCTCGGATAACCCAGAAAAACTGGAAACACCTCTCAGGAAAGCAGAATTGGTCTGGAGTGTTGGGAGCATCTTACTCCTGATTTCTGCTGGTTTTCCACGCGTTCCCGGTGCTCGTTGTTCCAGAACTCGGTTCTTGAAACCAGAAATGGAATTTGAGTCTTGAAACCAAAAATGGAACTTGAGTCTTGAAACTGGAAATGGAATTTGAGTCTTGAAACCAGAAACTGAACTCGAGTCTTGAAACCAAAAATGGAACTTGAGTCTTGAAAC